TCAGAAAATTTAAATTAACATTATTTGCCCTGTAGGACACAATGATGCTGTAAAATGGAGTCCTCTGCAAAATGAGCGTGACATAGAGTGTGACAGCGAAACGCGCAGCCACGTGCTCTAGTCAGCTCTTTCATCAAGGGCGCAGCTATGAGAGTGGTAAACATGTTGGAACGTGGACTTTGATGAGACTGTCCGCCTCAGTGAGTGGCACAGCCTATTGGAACTGAAGGCTGTGACAGTGCCTTGGCTTTTTGCGTCTGTGCCTAGTCAGAGCTTCTCGGGAGGGCCCCGCCCGCGTCCTCCCCTTCCAGTGTGCCTGTAAGCTGACAGCATACACTTGCATCCCTAGTTTCTCAGAGCATTGTCTGACCTCAGGAGAGCCCTGTCGGGTTGCGTTCCGCGCCGCCCTGCCCACTCACACAGAAAGCCCTCGTGGAGGAGGAGCCTGAGTGAGGCTCCCCTGCTGGTTCCTTAGGCAGAAGCCCCTACCCGCGACTTCTGCCTTCCATGTGTTCGGTCTTCCTTGAAGCATCAACTCAGTCTTTTGCCCCCTGCTTTGGGACTAGAAATGGGTCTTTCCCATCTTATAGGGAGGTGGCGTTTGCTCCCTGAGAATGGTCTCCTGGTGCTGGATGGTTTCGGTTGTAGAAGGGAAAACCATTCCAAGTCTGATGACCCCCACGCGCCCTCCCTGGAGGAACAAAGCAAGGCTCAGCTTGAGAACCAGACGCGGACCTGGGGAATCCTTACAGATGATGTGCCACCTGCATTAACTGCTCGCCGTTCTTTCCCTCAGGTCATCTGTGACAAAATATTCCACCATTGGTTCTCATCTTCCAGGAGTCCCGCCGTGTCCTTCCCACTGCGGCTGCAGTTAGAGCAGGCGGTGCAGGAGTGCGCAGGCTCCTCAGGCCTCAGCTGGAGCTCCTGGAGGGCGGCCCCACACGTGTTCTGGAAGCTTCGCAGGCTCCTCCAGGCCGCACTGAGGGAGCTGCAGGACTCAGAGGAGTAGCCACTGTCTGGCCTGAAACCTGCTCGCGTGGGAACTGTGACCTTCGAGGGCTTTTCTCTGCAGTTGTTCTGGATGAGACATTTTCACCGTGCAGTAAGTTATCCCTCAGTACTGTCGAGTCTCCCGAAGCACACAGTTCTACAGTAGTGAGAAGCGCCTCCGTGCCACCCGCTGGCACCTTCTTGTCTGGTCCTGATTTCTGCCCCATCTCCGTTTGGAAAATGAACCGGCGGGGGGTGGGAGGGGCGTGCAGGAGCGTTTTGCTTTCAGGAGGCTCTCAGCAAACACAAACTCCGATGTGCAAGACTGCAGAAAGTACTTCCACCTGACAGCAGAGCAAAAGGAGTCCAGCTGCTCTTTCCTAGAAACCATCACTGCATTTAAGAAACTGTGTGCACACGAAGGGGTGTGCAGTGCAGATGAGTGTGAGCACAAGACTGCGGCTGTGCATCTCATGTGTGAATATCCATGTAGGTGTGCTCATGTGAGTGTCCATGTGCATGTGAATATGTGCATATGGGTGTGTTAATGTGGGCTTGTGTCTGTATGTGCCACATGACTGCCAGCGACTGCATGTGTGACGGTGCTCCCCCTTATGAGAATGTTGGCAGCATATGCACACAGGAACACGGGTGTGCGTGTGCAGCAATGTGACCGTGCTGGTGTGTGGATCTGCGCACAACTGAATGAATGCACGTGTACACAAGTGCATGAATATGTGTGCTCATGTGTGTGAGCAAATGAGCACAGGCAGGTGAGTGTGTGGGGCATTTGCATGCTGGGTTGGGTTTCTGTAGCGTGTGCTCTGGGAAAACCTTGCCTGGCTATGAAAGAAGAATGTTTTTCTTTAAATGCAATAAAAAAGTTCCAGCATTAGTCACTGTGATTTGCACTGAAGAATATTTGTAATGACATCTTTTAGTATTTTCAATTTGTGGAATCAATGGATTTTATAGATTGTGTTTTAGGGAGCATTTTACCACTTATTGCAACACATCTTCCTTCTGAGTAGGAAGCTGTGGGTTTGCTGGCCTCACTGCTGTCTTGCACCTGACAGGGAATTTGAGTGGTGTGAATGCTGGTGGAGGGGTGCGGCAGGGGCCACGGCAGGGCTGGAGACCACTCCTTTCTGCCAACTTGACGTGCACAAGCCATGCACGTCAAGTCCTACTTTGACACCATGTGTTCTTCAGTGGACACCCAGTGAGCTTCTTCTTCAGTAGAAAAGGCCCTCATGGAAGGGGTTCTGTGCTGCTCCACATGCACAGCCAGGACACCCTTCACATGAAGATTACATGAAGATCCCTGCTTGAGTCAGGAGTGTGGGGACTCAGAGAATCAGAATCAAAAGCTCATGAACAGGGAAGCCAAGAAAGATGAACTACTAAGAGAGGTTTAGGGAGTTATAGTGGTCACTTACATATAGAAAAAGACAAAAATCAAAAGTTTTTAAAAGTACAAATGAACAATTTCCTATTGTTCTTTCCTGGCTGTATTAGTTACTCTGGTTGCTGGGACAAATACCCGACAGTCAAAATGAGGGAAGGAAAGGTTTATTTAGCTCAACAGTTACTAGAGGTTTCAAGATAGTGGAGGAGAGGCTGGGGCACTGCCATGTCCAGGATGACCCTCTCCACATCTCTAAGAAAGCACAGGCTAGCCAACTTAATGGTTCTAGATCACCTGGCCCTGCCTTTCTGGCCCTGCCCTGGTCCTCTAGACCAGACCCTGAAGCCACTCATTGTTCCTCTAGCTGCAGCGTCTGCCCTATAATTTACATGAGGCTTTGGGGGAACAACTAGACACAAAACATAAATAACACTGGCTCTCAAACACTTGTGGGTTGTTTTTTTTTTTTTTTCGTATTTTAGGGAAGGGTCTACAGGGTGTTCAGGGTCTCACTACTAGATTGGACTCATAGTGATTCTCTTGTTTACAGCCTCCCAAGTGCTAGGATTACAAGCATGTGCCACCACACCCAGTCTCAATTGCTGTCTCAGCACGCCCTGGGGGTGGGGCCAGCATGGCAGGCCTGGGGATCGAACCCTTGGCCCCTGCACCTGCTTGCAGGTGCTTTAATCTGCTGAGCTTTTGGTCTCAATCCCTTTTGAATCCAGACCAAATTTCCTTGGGACACGTTTCTCCATCCCTGCACCAGCTCACTCTGAGGAACTAGAGTTATCAGAGACTCCCACAGCCTCCATTCTTCGGCCTTGGAAATTGAAAACCCACAGTCACCTGCTCTCCTGACCCCTCTACCCTCTCCACTGCATTTGCCAATGATGCTTAATCTCGTAAGGGTCTCTTCCAGTCCTGTGCTCAGGGACTCGCTTTGTCTCTGTGTTTGCTGATGGGGACACGTCAGTCACCCTTGTGGCAGAAGTTAAAAGCCAAGCTGGCAGATTCTCACAGCCAGTATCTGTGACTCTCAGCAAAGCTCCCAGTGCCCCAGTACAGGGCATGTGTGGTTCTCCTATTTCTCTTTGGGGCAGGTTTTTATTTGGGAAGGATCGCAAGAAGATGTGGTGAGATCAAAGGGGAAGAAGGACGCCCTGGGCTTTGCCATCTGTGCCCTCCAGCTGTGTTGGGAGGTCAAGTGTGTCTCCAGTGTCTGATGCTGTGATTGTATCCCTTCATTAGTGGCACTGAGCTCACTGGCGAGACAGCAGAACTAGCTTGAGAAAAGGAAAAAGTTGGTTTTTATTTCAACTGGAATGGAAACAAATGTTTTTGTTTACCATGGAGACTATGCAATATGTAATTACCCAACACAGTAGTGGTTTTATTGCTGAAGGAAGCCGTTTTATCTCTTTTATTTTTCCCTATCCAGTTACTTTCTCTCTGTGAATGTGTGTGTGTGTGTGTGTGTGTGTGTGTGTGTGTGTGTGTCTTTTTTTGTTTCTCTGTCTCTGTCTCTCTGACATACACATCCTTTCTGTCTCAGGTAGGGCAGCGACTCTTAAGCTATGTGGTAGAATTTTACTTTTTTGTTTTCAAACCCTTGCAAAAAATTCTTTTATACAGCACATTAAAGAAACACTGTGTGTATCAGTATTTAACTTTGTGTGTATGCGTGTGTGCTAGGGATGAGCCTAGGGTCTTGCACATGCTGGGAAAGCACTCTACCGCCAAGCTGTGTCCCCAGTGGTATATTGAATATTTTTAATGTGACAAATGAAATTGCTCCTTGCTGATCTAGTTGAGCAGCAGCCATCCTCAGAAGGAGAAATGTCTACCTAAATGATTCAGACGTTTTGTTCAAATGGCATTCACAGTAGACAAAACACTTTCAGGGGTACTTTGATGGGAGCTGAAAAGATGATAAAGGAAGCTCTGCAAGACAAGTTTTATCCAGATCAAGGCAAGTATTTAATTACTTTCATCAGAAATCAGTTTTCAAAATTTATCTTGAGAGATTATAATTAAAATTATCTTTTGATGATCAGGACAACTCCAATGCTGTGGGTCTTGTTGCCTTACGGCTGACACTACTCTAACACCATGGATTTAGCCAGGTTCTCCTGTGTGGAAGCTGCAGAGGCCCAGGTTGTGTGAGTGCATGGGAACCTGAACTGGTCTCTGAGGGCACGGGTGTCCAGCAGTGTCACTGGAATGTGTTGTGCAAGTGCTACTGGCATTGTGAGCCCGTTCCTACCTCTCCCCTGATGTGAGCAGCTAACAGTTCACCACACACCTCCTTTCAAAGCCCACCAGGCTTGCCTCCTCTGGTCCTGCCTCATGTTGAGTCTTAGCCTGCCCAACCTTCTCGTGCAACCTAGATGAACATCTAGGACTTTCAATTATCAGAGCAGCAACAACTACTTTTAAACGTGTTTAGAACTGTTCTTTAAGCATCTGGAGACATAAGACTTCAGTTAAAAGTTTCTAAAATTGACAACTAAGTGAAAAATGTCCTGTATATTTTGTGCCAGTGTCTGATGATGGTGAAAGAAGGCTACTCTGCTTCTAACCCCCTTGGACTTTGGGAGGAAGTAGCAACCATGAGAAGAATGCCCCCCTCTGCCTGGCTCACACTCTTGTGTCTCCTTTACTCCATGATTGTCTTTCTAAACTTTTGAAACAGCAGTCTATGTTAACAGCTAAAGCTGATGGAGTGATTATTGATTATAACTGAGAAAACCTACCTCGAAGGATTTGTTCCTCATCTTTAAAACTGACCACCCATGACCTTCAGTGATAGCAACAATATACAGCCAGGCCTCAGTGTCATGCCTGCTACAGACAGGCACTACTGTGTCAGTAGCTGTGGAGGCGACAGAGGGACACATCAGGGGGTGACTGCTCATCCCACCGCAGTCACTAGGAAGCTTGTCCGTGGTGCTACAAGGAACCAACTCTTGAGTGCCTTGGTTCTTGGTGCTGTTGATAAAAGAATTCAGTCAATACTCAAAGGCAGTCACACAGAAGTATGAGCAGAATTATTGTGAAGTAGACATACAGGGATTTACACCTTCAAACCAGAAGTGGGCCATGTCACTCCAGCAACTGCTCCAAGTGTGAAATTAGAAACCTTTTATCCACACAAGGTACACCTGGGGTTGAATGAACTGTGAGGGATGATTAAGATGCTTAATATTTTTCTTGGAGGTTACTTTGGAAGTAAGAAAGTCTTTCTGGTTCTTTTTTTAGGAAAGAAATTTATGAAAGAAGAAGTTCTAATCTAAGTCAAATCTCAGCCTAGAATCTTTGAAAGGTGGGTCTAAAAAGTGCTCCTCTTTCTCCTGTCATTGGTCATAGGGCATAGTGACCAGGACCGCTGTCTGCCTGGTTTTGGATAGCCAGCTAGGTGGCCAGGTATCAGGAAAAAAAAAAAAAAAAAAAAAAAAAAACCATTTACAGTGTAAACCTTCAAATGTCATTGTGCTCTGTGGGATGTGCCAGGTCTAGGGCCTAACACATGATTAGGAATGTATATTACCAAGGTTTCTTCACTTACAACAGTCCCAGTGCACTAGCTTGCCCCTTTCTTTGCATCCATGTTTGCTAATGGCTAATGTCTAAGTACTGGTCTCACACTGACCTCTTTATCTTAGGAATACTGAGGGCTGGGACTATGTCTTTACAGGATGTGACTCTGTACCTATTCTGTTGTCACTAGTCCTTGAGGACAGGTTTGTTGGATTTCTTCTGATGAAAGACATCAGAGAATGTGTGTGGCTGGAGGTCACTGCCCATGAGTGTGTCCATCCTCTCCCCAGTGCTGGAGCCCAGCGCACTTGGAGGGTTGATAGGCATTGGTACATTTCCCTCAGGAAAACTTACCAATTTACCCTCCATGCCATAGTGTTAAAATGTACTGCTTCTGTCATATCCTTACCAATACTGGAAATTGTCAATTATCTCATGCACTTCCATGTACTGCATCACTGGTGAGGTATTTGCTTTGTGAATTGCCTGTGCATATTCTTAGCTCCTTTTTCCCCTGCGTTGTCTTTCTCTTTCATTGTTAGTTGAGTTTATATACTACAGACACCTTCTGCCAGTTCATGCCCTATGTGACTGCTGGGCACCCACTGTGAGGAGGAAGCTGAGATGAAAGCACCTGGGTACTAGTCCCTAAGCAACATACTCTTTTTCTTTTTACTGTTGGTGCACATTACCTGAGTGTGGAAAGGCTTCCTGCCTATTT